GCAGCGCTCATAGCCATGTAGGTGCCAGCAACGCCCTCGCACCCGTTTCTTGCCCTATGGAAATGGATGTTCCCCCCAGCCCTGCGTGGGGAGATCCTGGACAGACACCCCAACACTGCCGCGGGACGGTGCCGCACCATGGGGAAAAGCTCTTGGAAGGCCCCAAGGGGTCTGGCCTGGGTCCTAGTGGGGGGGGAGGATGTGGCATTACCCCTTTTTAGGGAAATAACCTGCAAATTAGCACAGGATTGAGAGAGGGGCTAAGGACGGAGCTTGGCTCAGCAGGGCGGCCGGAGGGGGCTGCGCTGGCTGTGCCTCACCCGGCCCCTCGCTGCCGCCGCAGCACGCTGCCCATCGGCAGGAAGGGTCGCTGCCCCAGCTCCCTCTACATGGCCTGGCTCGAGACCCTCTCGCAGGACCTGAGACCCCCTGTCATCCTCACCCGAGGAAACCAAGAGAACGTGCTGACCTTTTACTGCCAATAAAGCCTCCTGGATCCCTGCCAACTCGGGATGTGCATTTTTCAGGACAGTTTTAATCTCAGAGCGTGCTCGCCCAGGGCTCTGGGGGAGCAGCGAAGGCGTGTGGTCGCCAGTTCTTGGAAAATGCCCGCTGTGCACAGCTGCCACCCTCTTAGAAACTCATTTTGCTGATCTCGGTCTATGCAGGTTGTATAAATATATAAAATACCACAGGCCCCATAGTGCAGGCACTGCTCCAGCCCTGGGTTTGACCGGAGCCATGCAGGTGAGGCATGGGGTCCCAGGCTGAACCGTGCCCCGTTCTGAGAGCAGCAAGGGGACAGCGGGACTCCTGTGCCTACTCCCCCAGGAGAGCCTGAGCGGTGCTGATGGCCCTGGCAAAGCCACCGTCCCGGGGTGAGAACCACCCCAGGGGGATGGGAGCGGGTCAGCGCCAAGCCCAGGGGCTGCGGGGACCCTGCACGTCTGCTCAGGGACGGGGACTCCCGGCCTCGAAACGGGCTGAGCCCACCCCCAGCAGCCGAGCAGCAGCAAGACGTCACCTCAGGCTGTGGTGCCTGGCTTGCAGGCGTGTGTCCAGCTCCTAACGGAGACAAAATTAACCACCAGAACCAGGACACTTCCTGGTGCAGATGGCCCCAGGCAGGAGGAACCTGCCCCGTGTGAGGCAGGAGCAAGGCTCATTTCCAAAAGCACAACCCAGGCTCCCTTGTCGCCCTGCAGGAGAAACGCACAACACCGTTCACCTTGACCTTTATAGAATTTACTGATAATCACCACCAGGATTAGAAGTGTCAGTAGAAAAATAAAATTTACAGAGTTTTCTATCATACAAAGATTTGTTCATGACAGCCACAGTCGTTATCGAGATAGGAAGTCGGGCGATATCTAAATCAGCCCAACACAGAGGACGTTCGCACACAGAAAGCAGGGCCACGAGTCTCAGCTCGAGCAGCGATGTTTCTCCGGGGCTGGCAGCTTCTCTGCAAGGTGTTTCCTTGACCAACGCTCCTGGCTGGGCTCCCTGGCCAGGGGTTCACAGCACTGCCCAGCCCGGGACACCTCAGCATTGACATTTTTGCAAGCACTTTGCAGCTTTTGGCAAGGTTGACTGAGCGAAATCTACCGACACCTGCTGAAAACAGAAGGAATTCCTCCGCTCGCCTCACTCAGGATAAGGAACACAAAGGGAAGACCAAACCGATGTGATGAGAGGGGAGGAAACTACCGGCAGTGACCAATCTGGTGCATCAGCTCAAAACTACTCCTCCTTCCCGTTTGGATCTGGTTTTACTGGAGAGGGAGGACGGGAAGGCAGCCAGGGGAGCGGAGGATGCTCTGTGAGTACCGAGGTGACACAAAGAACTCTTCCCCCAGCGCTAATACCTGTCAAGACAAGTCAGCAGCCGATTGTTCACCTTTTATGCAAGAATTCCCTGAAAATTTCATGGTGCCTGGGCACAGAGAGGCACCACCGGCTCCAACCACTCAACTTCCAAACAGTGGCTGAGCTGTCAACTCTTCAAGTGAAGCAGACCCCCCCCTCAAAACAGACACAATGGATGGAAAACAGGAGGTTTTCAGTGTGCCCAGCACCAAGCGATTTTTTTTTTTTCATTTGTTCTGAGCTCTTAACAGCCCGGATTTGTCCCCTGCATGCCTCAGCCCCATTACTGCAGAGGAACCATCCTCGTGCCATGGCACGTGGCACACCGATAAAGTGCTTTCCCAGTTGCAATCAGCTTAGTCCTTGCTACTGAGGGATGCCAGGCACCGGAGCAGGGGGAAAGTGGAGCACAGCGGGTGCCCAGGACACTGGTTTCTAGCATCACCTGAAAGGTAAGGCCAGACCTGCCCAGTCTAAGTCCCATGAGGGACTTTTAATCCACCCAGGAAAACACAGGATAATTCACGTGAATGAAACCAGGCACTCCGGACACACGCTGTGTATGCAGCCATTCAAAGTAAGAAGTGGGAAGGGGGGAAGACATCCAGAGAGATCATTATTCCTGCTTTTTCATAGAATCACAGAATTGTTTAGGTTGTAAAAGACCTTTAAGATCGAGTCCAACCGTTAACCTAGCACTGCCAAGTCCACCACTAAACCATGTCCTCGAGCACCACATCTACCTGTCCTTTAAATACCTCCAGGGATGGGGACTCAACCACTTCCCTGGGCAGCCTGTTCCAGTGCCTGACAACCCTTTTGGTGAAGAAGTTTTTCCTAATATCCAACCTAAACTTCCCCTGGCGTAGCTTGAGGCCGTTTCCTCTTGTCGTATCGCTTGTTACTAGGGAGAAGAGACCAACCCCCACCTCGCTACAACCTCCTTTCATGTAGCTGTAGAGAGCAATAAGGTCTCCCCTCAGCTTCCTCTTCTCCAGACTAAACCACCCCAACTCCCTCAGCTGCTCCTCATAGGACTTGTGCTCTAGACCCTTCACCAGCTTTGTTGCCCTTCTCTGGACACGCTCCAGCACCTCGATGTCCTTCTTGTACCGAGGGGCCCAAAACTGAACACAGTATTTGAGGTGCCGAGTACAGGGGGACGATCACTTCCCTGGTCCTGCTGGCCACACTATTCCTGATGCAAGCCAGGATACTGTTGGCCTTCTTGGCCACCTGGGCACACTGCTGGCTCATGTTCAGCTGGCTGTCGGCCAGCACCCCCAGGTCCTTCACTGGGGGCAGAAGCGCAGAGGGAAGGAGAGGCCTGACCTTCCCCCGGGGAATGCAGCAGTAGGAAGACCGGCTCTCTACAAGCAGCACAGCACAGGGGGCACTCCAGGGTTTAGTATACATTACACCGCTTGGACCTCACCCACCTAAGGAGAAGGATTCACATTGAAGTCTTTCCTAAAATCCACAGCTTTATTCCCTGAATTAACATGGGCTAAAATTTAGAGTAATCTCAGCAAGTACCTCCTGAAAAACACCTCTATCCATCAGCTGTCAACAGACCACTCTGGAGAAGTCAGTACATAGAGAGAAATTCTTTTTTCATGATAAACACGTGGCCCCGTTGAGGGTTGTTTCAGCACAGAGGACATAGGGTTCATGGAAGATAGCTGGCCTTACGAAATGTTGCAGGTACAAAAGGCAAGCTGGTTTGGAAACCAAAGGAGTGCAGCAAAACCACAGATGGGATGTATGTCCTGGGAGGCTGGACACAGATGGCGCCTTTCCTCGGCAGCCCACGCGCCTGTCAGCTGGTAATGAACAAACCAGGATGACAGCAACGCCATGGGGCTGGCTACGCTGCCCAGCCACATCCTTGGGATTCAACCTCAGCTTCCCCAAGGGCCTCAAAAAACCAAGCCCCCAGAAAGCGCCCAGCTAGCAACCTGAGAGCCCTGGCCATGTGGTATGCCACCCCGCAAGAGGGCGGATCTAAGAGTTAGTTAAAAGTCACTTAAAACAAACTAAAACAATTCATTAGAGGAGACCACACTGCCTGCTGGTAAGGGTTGGTCTGGGGCTGTGTTCACAAGGCTCGTCCCTGATGGACACGGGAATCAGCCAGGCTCTTCCCGGGACCCTCGCAGGCATCTCACCCACCGGCACGCTGCGGGCTGGATGCCAAAAACACAGCGCACTCCCTGCCTCCACACCTGGGAAGCCCCAAGTCACGAGAACCCGGTGCCAGCTGTGCAGCTTTCGCCAGCGCAGCCATCGAAGCAGCAGTGTGCTGAGTTTTACATAAGCCGGCCAGCGATGTTTACATATCAGTGAAGACACCCGATTCCACCACACCAATATAAACGTGTTCAGCAAGTAAAAGGAGAATGGAGAAGTTTAAAAATACGCGTCTCCTTCAGAGCCTGAGAAGCAGCAGCGCATGCTCACACGTGCGCCCTGGGATTTCTCGCATGGGCAGCAGGGTGGAGCACCCAGTCAGCTGCGCTTCGCCTCTCGGGCAGAAGGTACACAGTGCCTGAAGGGCTTCACCGTAATAAAATTCACAAAACCAGCAATCCTTTTTACACTGGTTATTTCCTCTGCCGCAGCATTCATAGTCACAGCTCTCGGCCACAAATCTGCACTTTCATCCATCTAAAACGATTTTTCCTTTTGCTGCTCCCAAATTCACTATGACCAAGACCTGGTATTAGAAAGCTGGGGCCAGCAAGAAAACAAATTAAGTTTCTCATTTAAAAAATTCACATTAAAAGAGCTTCAGGCTCACTGCAAACAAAGCAGCAAGAGGTCAAAGCATTAAGTGAGCTCTGAAGACATCACCTCACTCCGTAGTACTGTTTCTACCCCAGAACAGCCCGTGTCACATCTTAGTTATGTCCCGTTGCTACAATTCATCACTGGTAAAAGGTACGTGGGCCTCGTCCTCCAGAAGCCCTTTTCCTGTCCTCCATAGGAATAAAGTTTCACTTGGCACTTAATGCTACTAAAAAGTAACAAAATTCACAATTTTTATCCTAATTTCAAGCCACACTGGAGACAGGAGCAGGCCTTCATGTATCCTTTAACCAGTGGAGAAGCACACACCGAGGCACGCCTCGAGCTGTGCTCCTTCATGATTTGTTTCAGAGACGGCACAGGCGGCAGATCCTTTGCTCTTCCTTTGATTTGTGATCTCTAGCGTCTGAAGAAGAGCTAGAGAGTGGCTAAGATGCGTAGAAACGAAACCACCACCACACAGAATGTCTGACCCACTCCTAAAATGAGGGCTTCAAAGGGAATCATTTTTTTCCCCGCAGCTCTGTAAACTCCAGCAATGGCAGCACCTGTGGAGAGGGGAAAAAGCCAAAACATGAATGCGTGACAGCCACCATGAGATAGACACTGTTATACCACAGGGACAAAGGGGGAGGGCTCAGAGGATCTGAGGCTGCAGGAAAGAGCCCTGAACCCCTGCGCACCGGCTGGCAGAAATGCCAGACTGGGTTCACCGTGACAAACCTCAGCCAGTAACCAAAGCATGCTGGTGGCAATGGGTAAACTCGTGGGGAAACTCTGCTGAGACCTCCAGAAGGCGTGGAGGTTGGGGCAGTTTTGGACATGCTCTCGTCACAAGATCCTCCACACCACAGCCCACAAGCTGCAAATATTACCCAGTTTTGGGCACAGACACCAAACCTATGTTTTTTCTCCCAGTGCTCAGAAACCTGAAAGCCCCTCCGGCTCTGCACCTGATGGCCCCGTTTGGTACCTGACAAAGGGCTCAACAGGTGGGATGGTCCGACACTTTGAAACATGGGGCAGGGGGGGAATATCGCCAAAACATTCATCTCCTCTCTACCCCAGGGAATGCCGCGGTTCGGCGCACTCCCGAAGGTGACCTCTGATCGCTACAGAAGCACTCGGTCGACATTTTCGAGCATCTACCGTACTTGTTAGGATGCCGGCGGTAATGGGTCCCACGATGCCCATCAGGAGGAGGCTCACGGACATGAACCTGCCGTACTTGTGATGCCTGAGCGTGAAGAGCGCTAGCAAAGCGGCCGGGACGTGGAAGGAGAGGGAGGAGACGAGGGCCCACAGGAAGACGCCATACCACATCTCTGTGGAGAGAAGGGCCGTGAGGCAGGCTCGGGGCCCGCCGGCCCCC